CCCTCCCGGCAGCCCCCTGGTCCTCGCTCTCACTGCTCCCACTGCTGCTGCTGCAAAGATGGAGTGGTAGGGGGGATGTGGGGCTTGGGGACTGGAGATAGAGCCAGGGAGTTTGATGATATAAATAAACCTTTTGGACAGTTTGCACTGAATGAACAATTTTGTTCTTTGATTTTTTTTGATGTGCTCCTTTTGCCAGCGCTGGGCCAGAGCACAACTCTCAAAATATGGCCCAGAATGAGAATCAAAGATCCAAACATGTGGCTACCTTGTACCAAGACAACACTGACTTTCAGCCTGTGATTGAAATCACACAGAAAACTGAATTGATTTAGCTTGGGTGAGCAACAAGTGTCCCTTGGTTGGTTTCATGAATGCTACGTAGCCCTGTGTGAATCGCAGAGCTCCACAAAACCGAACTGAAAGTTCATCAAGCCAAAACATTCCATATTCCACCCAACAGGACCTCTCTCCAGAGGAACAGCAGGTACTGCACAGGCTGACAGAGATTACTTAATGAAAAGGTTCACAATCACAACCAGAGAATGTAAAAAATAGGAGCAGTTGGCCACGTGGTGCCCTGAGCCTATTGCTATGTTCAATTAAATAATGGATCATCTACCACCTTCACTATCTCCAGATTCTTCAATTCACTTCGTATCCAGTCTTAGTCTTGATTACATTTAACGAAAAAGTATCCACAGCCTCTGGGGTAGGGAATTCCGGAGATTAGCAACCCCTGAGTGATGGTCTTTCTCCTCAGCTCAGTTTTATTGCATCCCAGATGATTGTTTGTAAATGGCTGATATCTTCTCCCATGGCTGTGACTCCTAGTCCCTGGCTGGGGAGAAATAGTATTTTTTTGTGGAAAGCTCATGGAGTTCCTCAATTGCAGCCATCTGTAAGCTTGCTTAGCAATGACAGGAAGTCCTATACCCACTCTTCACTTTGCCTGCAGCAATATATGGTCTGCAGACCTTATGGGGAAGAGAAAGGCAGGACTGACATTTCTCCCACGCTTTGCCTGATGTCAGGACTTTTCAAAGTGCTTCTTTGGAGAGCATGTGTGAGAGAGTTTCGTTCTTCTAAATTAACAGTAGGTTAAGCAAAGCCAGAAATCTATGCCACAACCCAGGCTCAAAGTGAATGCACTATAACACACTTCAAAATGGCTGAGCATCTACATCTTCCTTCATAAAGGAACACAGACCCAGTTCTAAATAACAGTCATAATGGAATTTAAATGTTAATTTTTGTTTCTCTCTCCACAGATGCCGCCTGATTTGCTGAGTTTCTCCAGCATTCTCTGTACTTACACCTACACATTCTCTTCTCCTAAAATCTGGTTAATTGTTTTGCTGGAATTATACAACGTGTCAAGAGAACAGATACAGGCTGACACACCGTTATCCCAAACTGCTTGCAGGAAATGAAGAACTTCTCCCGTAAAGTGGCTGCGTTGTTGATATAGTCCAGTTCCTTGCGGCTGTACTCCTGCTGCAGCTGTTGGCACTTACTAATCTGCTTCTTCAAAGATGGAATTTCATAATTTACATTTCGCACGAGTAAACTGGAAAGTTCAGCTGTTATTTAAAAAAATACAGAAAGCACACCTTTGAGAATGCTTATTGTATGTAAGGGGAAACTTTATAAACACACAATGGGAAAAAAGATATATAATTGTGAGGAAAGACTGACCCAAAAAATAATAAGACAAATGGGTGACCTGAGAAGTCTTTAAAATTTTATACTTCAGATGATTGATCAGGTCGACATAGAGATATTTCCACTTGTGGAGAAACCCAATACTCAAGGGCATAATTATAAGGTGTAAATACTGTCTCTTTTTACTTTTCTGTATTTTTGATTTTGGAATGGAATGAAAAATTCATTGTTTTAAAACCAAGGATTGGAAGATTTTTCTGAAAGCAGGGACCACACACTCATTGTAAGCACTGTTTACACAGCTGCTGGTTCAAGTAATACACAGAAGGTGCGGGTGAGCTGCAGCCAACAGTGTGTAAAAACGGAGATACAGCCAGCAACAAGTTGCCAAACATTTTGTGGGCTAGTGAGAGTGTGGAACCTGTTATGACAATAAGCTGCTGAGATGAATAGTAAAGATACATTTAAGGGGCTGCTTGATAAACACTTCAGGAAGAAGTGTTCTATTCATTTCATGGGATGTGGGTGTCGCTGGCTGGCTAGCATTTATTGCCCATCCCTAGTTGCCCTTGAGAAGGTGGTGGTGAGCTGCCTTCTTGAACTGCTGCATTACTCCTGCTGTGGGTTGACCCACAATGCTATTAGAGAGGGAATTCCAGGATTTTGACCCAGCGACAGTGAAGGAACGGGGATATATTTCCAAGTCAGGATGGTGAGTGACTTGGAAAGGAACTTGGAGGTGGTGGTGTTCCCATATATCTGCTGCCCTTGTCCTTCTAGATGGAAGTGGTCGTGGGTGTGGAAGGTGCTGTCTGAGGTCCTTTGGTGATTTCTGCAGCACATCTTGTAGATGGTACACACTGCTGCTACTGAGTGTCGGTGGTGGAGGGAGTGGATGTTTGTGGATGTGGTGCCAATCAAGCGGGCTGCTTTGTCCTGGATGATGTCAAGCTTCTTCAGTGCTATTGGGCTGTACTCATCCAGGCAAGTGGGGAGTATTCCATCACACTCCTGACTGTGCCTTGTAGATGGTGGGCAGGCTTTGAGGGAATATGATGAAACAGAAGCTCACATGCAGCATAAACAGTGGCTGGATGATCTGTTTTGTTGCTGTATGCGCTGCACGGTAGGAATTTTACTGCACGAGGGCACTGATCAAATGCTTCACTGTGGTTTGAGGCAGATCTTCATTAAAAATACTCATTGTCCCAAAACACACTTCTCAAAACAGTGGAGTTGATTGGAGTTTTGGGTAAAGTGTGCTTTAAGCTATGCATGTGAACAGCAATCTTAAATGTACTGTGTACAAAGCAAAATAACAAAACAACTGGGGATCTCACTGGCATGCCCAAGGCCTCTGTTCCTGTGGTGAAGAAGCCCCACTTTGCATCTCCCATCATTTCAAGACTCCAAACCCATTTCCCATTTGGCAAAGCAAACTGCCGAGACCAAAACAGATAGATTGGGGTGGTGGCAGCTGCTAGCAATAGCAGGTTTTTTTTTTACATTTGTTCACAGGATGTGAGCTTCCCTGACTAGGACAGCATTTATTGTCCATCCTTAACTACCTAGGGGGCAATTAAGAGTCAATCACATTGCTGTGAAACTAGAGTCACATACAGGCCAGACCAGGTCAGGAGGGCAGATTTCCTTCCCTAAAGGACATCAGTGAACATCAGATGGGTGTCTATGACATTCGACAACTGTTATTCAGTCAGAATTCGTATCTTTATTTTATTCCAGATTTTTACTGAATTTAAATTTCATCATCTGCCATGGTGGGATTCAAACTCATGTCCCAGGTCATTAGCCTGAGGGTCTGGATAACTAGTCCCGCTACATTACCACTACTGCACTATCTCCCTCGAGTTGAGCATGCATGGGAGAGTTTGCAATAGCAGAGCTGCCGGGGCACAAGTGCCTCAGATTATTTCCAAGACGTAACCTGCTCCTTTGGAGCCACAGAAATAATGTGACGCTTGGCCAACTTTCTCCAATTTATGGAGATGGTCAGATACCAACTGGTCCTGACCAAAACAGTCCAATTTATATCTCAGATTAGACCCATCCCAGATTTCCATATTAGAGGGGGCCAATTGTCCACATTTATAACAAAAACTTCTCAGGCAAACTGGTCACAGATTAATCACAATCGCCTAGCAGTGTAGGTGCTACAGTTACATAGAAACTTTCATTACAAACTGGAACAAAGGGAGTTATACTGGATGAAATATTTTTAACTTTTTATGTGTACTGCAATATGTTTCAGATTATCTGATGTGTGTCTTGGTTGAGGGTATAATTGGATGTGCTACTATTCCTTCTTCCTTTGATAGTGCTGTGGAAACCTTAACATCCCCAGTTTAAGGTCTCATCTCAAAAACAGTACCTCAGACGCAGCACACCCTCAGCACTGCACTGGAGTGATGACTGAATTTATGGATTGAAGTTACAGTTTTAATTTCTTCAGCCAGAGAGTGGTGAATCTATGGAATCACTGCCTCAGAAGGCTGCGGAGGCCAGGTCACTGAGTATATTTAAGACAGAGATAGATAGGATCTTAATTGTCAAGAGGATCAAAGGTTACTGGGAGGAAGCGGGAGAATGACGTTGAAAAACTTATCAGCCATGATTGAATGGAGGAGCAGATGGGCCAAATGGTCTAATTTCTGCTCCTATGTCTTATGGTCTAAGTCTCTGGAATGGGGCATGAGCCAAGGGCTTCTGACTCCGAGATCATCATGTTACCCACTGAGCCCCAAGCAGACATCTAAGCTTCAGGAGTGCCCGGCTTTAAATGTGTAGAATGTAAAATATCCGCAAACCAGCTTCCTTACCGAGATAGACGTTGTCTTTTTCATACAAACACACTATCTCCTGCCAGTCCTGTAGCAACAAAAAGACACAGAAAACAGCTAATTTTGACTTTTTCAAATCGAGCAAACCTGAAGAAACTGCCCATGAAATTTCAAATAATTTTACCTTCATTCGCTGAGAGGAGTAACCACCAAAAATATTCTTTGTAGAAGCTTCTGTCCCTCTGAGAATCTCTATAATTCTCAAGCAATGGAAATAATGGATATCTGCAGGAGAGGGAAAATTTAACATTACACTGAAAAGGAATGTCACACCAACACAAAGTCAAACTGCCTGATTTTTATCAGATGCTCCTGGGTCCACCGAATACTCTCAATCTTAGAGAAGACGCAGGGCATAGCTGTGAAGCCTGTTACAGCACCATGCAGACTCCAACAACTTGCATTTCTATAGTGCCTCTATGTAGTAACATGAGATACCTCACAGGAGTGTTGTAACATAAAATTTAACAAAACACAGAATGGGATATTCAGACAGGTGAACAAAATATTAGCCAAAACAGGCTTTTAGGTAGCAACCTAATAAAGCAGAGGGGTTTAGGGAGGAATTCCAGAGCTTAGGGCTCAGGCAGCTGAAGGCATGACCACCAAATGGTAAAGCGATTAAATTGGGGATGTTCAAAAGACTGAATTTACAAATGTCAGAATTGTAGGGCAGGGGGAGGTTATAGAAATAGGGACTGGTGAGATCAAAGAACAAGCTGAAAGGGAGGTTGAGAATTTTAAAATCAAAGTGTAGGAGGTTCCTATGAGCTAGGGAGTGGTGGGTGAACAGAATTAAACTCAAAGATATTGATCTAATTAAGGGGGACATTAGACATGCACATGAGGAAGAAAGCAATAGAAAAATGCTCTGACAGGATGAAACAAAGTCAAATGGGAAGATTCATATGGTACAAGAACACTGGCACAGACTCGTGGGGAAGTATGGCCTGTTTCTGGGCGGATTAATGAGCACTATCTCTGGACTATTACAAAGTTAACCATTAATTCTATTTATACACGCAGACTACCAGGATGACACTTGGCAGAAATGGCACTGACATGATCCTGACAGGAGCTGTTTGATCTCCTCATTCTCTGGCATATCCTGGATTGCATTGTTTATTTTCTCCCGAATTACCAACACCGCATTCTGCCATTTCAGCTTGCAATGCCGTCTATCCACCAGCCAATCTAAGGAAGGCAAGAAACAAAATACTTGTAAAGCACACTCTCCAGACATTCAGGAAACATTATTTCAGAAATTTCAATATTCCCTTTCATTTGTTGTGCACATTGATATACTCATTTGCCTTCTGGACTAGGCTACACATGGTTCCTTGATGAGATACCCTACAAAACCCAGGCTAACAGTCCAGTTTAACATTGAGGGTGTGTTGCAATATCAGTATCAACGATGCCCTCTTTTGTATGAGGCTTCAGCCTGAGATCCCATTGCCTTCTCAGGTGCATTATTTCAAAGAAAAGCAGCAACGTTTTCCCTGCAGGCCTGGCCAATATTTAAACCTCAATCAATACTGATAAAACACAGATGTTGTTTGTGGGAGCTTGCTATGGAATAATTGGCTGCTGTGTTTCCTGTATCACCCGAGTGACTACACTTCAAAAAGTACTTCACTGGCTGTGATGCAATTATACAATGTCCTGAGGTTATGAAAGGTGCTATATACGTGCAAATCTGTCCTTTCCACTTCCAAACTGTACAGGATGCTCCTGTGAACTGACTATAGGGCTTCAGCAATGAGCAGGTTGGGAATGACCTTCACCCTGTCCCACAGCAACCCCACCAATGTTATCCTAACCTTCATTCAAAACCCACAGTGAAAGCTGACAGCAATCAGGGAGCAGGGAAGGTAAATCACTGGGTTGGTGCATTAGGCAGTAGCTCATTCCAAAGACATTTAAAAACAGAAACTTAATACCTATCACATATACTTTTAAAACATGATCATGTTATTGCCAACCTTTTAGGATTTTTCAAAAGAACTGTTCTATCAAGATTACTGACATTTAAACTCATTGCAAACCCCTGTCCCAGGAATTCTAAACATCAAAAACTGAACATCGCAGCAAACTGACTGTAATATACGAGGGATAGTAGGTACTGCCGATGCTGGAGTCTGAGATAACAAGGTGTGGAGCTGGAGGAACACAGCAGGCCAGGCAGCATCAAAGGAGCAGGAAAGCTGACGTTTCAGGTCTGGACCCTTCTTCAGAACAATATACTAGCTCTTCCTTCCTGTTCACTGCTGCATTCCAATCCTGCACCTCACCGCAGAGAGACTGTCAACTTTTCGGGGAACACCTTTCCCACACAGGGAAAAGTGAGAGCCAAATTGCGCGTGGCAAATGCACCAAAGGAATGTCGGTGCTGGATTTTGTGGTATCTGAGACACTGAAGAAATAGCCTTCCATTTTTCTCTCTCTCTCTCACATACACTTCTGTAAACCCAAAATCTTGCTTGAATCCAGAGGACCTTCAGACCTTGAGACAAGATGCAACTTCAGATTCAGGACAGCTGGTGCCTCAGGAAGAGTTTCCTCAGCTGACTCTGGGCAATTGCTACATGCAGTTTAAAAAATTCTCTGAAGTTTCAGACTACT